CTGATTTCGTCGGGGGGTCGATGTTCACTGGCAGATCTGCTTCCGTTGTTTGTGTCAGATCTACTAGTGAACCAGTTAGTTAGTTATTTAATCTAACGAATACATAGAAATATGAAAAAAATTTATGTATATATATTTTCAAAAATATCTTAAGAAGAAGGAGAAAGAAGAGAAGAAGATTATTTTCCTGTATGAAGAATTTCTTATTATAAGAAAAGAAGAGAACCAAACCTTTTTCATTTTCTACACTGTATACCCACCCACCCTTTATCTCTTCTATCTATCCATCATCTGTGTAAGTGGGTGTGTGTGTGTGTGTAACTTAATCATCTGATGATTTCGAAATAAGCAACCTATTATAGAATTGTTACCTTGGTGACTTATGACAGTGTACCTCTCTTATTTTGTTTTTTTCTGCACTCTTTACATACTTGGTTACACATACCACCATCAACAATAATCACAACTATACCTACAACGACAATAACAACAACAACAACGTGACCAAGGAGAATAAACACGAAGGAAAAGGAACAATAGTAGATGTTTAAAAGGAAAAACAACAAATAAATCAGAGATGCATCTCCATTTCTAGTAAAAGGTGATGAAGAAACAAACAAAAACGAAAGATTTCAAGTTAAGAAGGGTAAAACAAACATTTCTTAAGTGTTTAGAGAAGGCTGAGATCTCAACTAATTACATACATCTTACAGAATCGCAGGCAGCTTTAATTCACTTTCCAATTTGCATTATTATAGTCCGCTCTTCATTATCACTAGACAGCCAAACTGCCATCTTATGACCTCGAGCACGAGGTTGAAATACTGCCTCGAATATTAGCTCTTCTTCTTCATCTGTATCCCAATCAGAACCGATGAGAAGCATCAATAACTCGTCCGACAAAAAATCAACATTATGTTGTTGTTATGTGTGCGTCGGTGGTATAGCGGCTAGCACGCTCGCCGACCATGCATATGGTCCGGGGTTCGATCCCGGCCGGCGCACTCCTTTACCTCACTGAGCCAGAAATAATGCTTGTAAAGAGGAAACGTTGGGCATGATGCTAGCAACCCCATCCTGTAAAAGGTAAACACTGCTACAGAAACTTCAAGCCACTAGCTTGGATCCCTATGTTCCACTGGAAACGTGAAGGAAAAATTATTATTATTTTATGTTGTTGAGGAGAAATATTGATCAACCAACGTCCTCCTTTCTCATTCTTCGGGTCTTCCCATTTTGGTTAGATATCACACTTGAACATGTATAGATCGTTGCCATTAACCATTTTAAAAGGCCTGACTGTATGAAGCAGAGTACACTCCAGAAATGCTCAATAGTAGTGCTAAATGTGGCACTTTTTCCGTACATTCTTCCCCAACTAAGGATTTATTGCATATATAAACAAGTAATGTGACCACGTGTCTTCCAGTGGATTTAGTTTTATCCCTCCTACTCCTCCTCCTCCTTTTCCTTATCATCCTCTATCCTCTGACTGCTTTCCACCGCCGTCATCATTCGTTGGATTCTTATCAGTCAAGCTGCTCTTACAGCTTAAATAAAAATTATTATTGAGTTCATGTATAGAAACAATTTTAACATACTTGCAAATTTTACAATGATGTCAGTTGATAGGATGTTCTGTGCTTAGTGAATAGTGCTCAGAAAATTACACTTTAGTAGATTTTACACAAGGAATTCAAGTTTAAACAAAGTAAATGTGTAACGACAGAAGACAAGGGCCAGGCAACAGATCGTTCATTGAGAATAATAATAATAATAATTTTTCCTTCACGTTCCCAGTGGAACATAGGGCGCCTTCAAGCTAGTGGCTTGAAGTTTCTGTAGCGAGGTAAAGGAGTGTGTCAGTGGCCGGGGATCGAACCCCGGACCATGTGCATGGTCGGCGAGCGTCTTAACCGCTATGCCACCGACGCCCGTTTATTGAGAAAATCAACAGATATTTATAGATTTTCATGTACACTATTAATAGCATTATTTTTACGAGAGAAGTAACTTTTTCTAATCGGTTGCTTTCCTGCTCAAGGTTATTCTGTCATCTCTTTGTAACCGTTTCTTAGACAACCCGGTGATATATCTGCGAATCTTATCCGTCCACGTTAAGTCTGCTGTAATTGGTTGTTGAGTTCATCAAGGTTAGGCTTTGTTCTTGTTTTTTTTCTCATGATACCGATTCGGGACGTAAATTGTTGTCTACCAATTTCGGTTTGTTCGCAGACAGCTCTCACCACAGTAGTAGTCAATGAAAGCTTAACAATACGTATATGTATGTGTACACATTTTGTCCTCATCATCATCTTTGTCGTTCTAAATAGTCATGTAGGGATTATGTTGATTTGGTTTTGTGTCCTATAAGGATTTATGTCATTAATAAAGTGACACAGTTGTATGCGGTGTGCAATCTGTTAATCTGTTTCTCTGCCCGATTTTGCATCCTATACATGCATGTAAATGCTAAAATCTATGAAAACTGGACTAGATAACGGTTATCTATTGATTATCTACATAACATGAATTTGTCTTGTGTTGTAACTCTCTTGTTAAATGGCGTAATAAACAATGGGTTTAAGTGTAGTGTTGTTAGGTATGAGAATGGAAAATCAATCGACGAGGTTGTGTGAAGCAGCTGCATCGATTAAGATGGTTAGGACGTGTGTTATGCATGCATCCCTAGCCCCATCACTTTCCTCGATGGGTAATGATAGGTGATATAGGACTAGGTTGGAAAATAGTTAGAGGTGATCATCAAACGAAAACATGGCTTCATCAGCTACAGTGGTTAGGACTCTCGCCGACCATGCACATGATCCGGGGTTCGAGCCCGCACCGACGCACATCTGATATCTATGGTTGGCCTGCGAAATTTGGGCTACCGATATCCATGCTGAAAATTCCATACTTGTACCGAGAATACAGTGTGTAATCAAGCTGTAAATCAAAAATAAAATAATAAAATCCATAACATTATTTCTGAAAACTTTCAATGCCTTTTGATGCTCTTTAGAGAAGATTTTGGAAAATGACTTTGGTGAAATGTGGTACTAAATTTGCAACGTCGACTGGCTTAGATTTGAACCGTCTCTTCGTGTCCTCATCAACTGGAGTAAGGTCATTCGGCTGGTTCGAAAATCCATAACAGTTAGTTTAAGCCAGCCAGCCAGCCACGTAGGGAAGTGTAGACTGGCTGGCTGACTGGTTGGGGTCCTTGGGATGATGGTGAGAATCTATGAAGGCTGGAGGCAATTAGTGGTGATATGGCTGAAAGTCGTTTTCTATTTTTTAGCTCAAATGCATTCACTCTTTGTAGTTGGTTAGTCATATCCAATAAAACTCTGGTGTTTTTTCCATATTACTATTCTTTTTGCTTCACACTTGTGTTTATTATCTCTCTCTCTCTTTTGAGTCTCTCCTCACTGTCCTTCTCTTGCTTTCTGTGGTATATGGAGTGTGGTAATGGAGTGTAGCAGCTGGAACTGCTTTACACATGTGCAAAGTTCTATATTGAAACCAGGCAGTCAGTCAGTCAGTGAACATTTTAAGAGTCAATGAATTAAATCCTCCTCATTATTTCCCCATATATGTCGGTGGTCCAGTGGTAGAACGCTTGCCAACCACACACGTGGTCCAAAGTTCGGTCGTTGGCCGACGCACTCTTAAACCTCACTAAGCTGATAATAAGGTCGGTAGAGAAGGAAGGTTGGGAGTGAGGCTAGTAACCCTTCCCCGTTAAAAAAACAAAAAATCTATTATTGTGGTGAGAGCTGGCTGCTAGCCAAAATTAGTAGACAATAATTGATGTCAATGTTTACGTCCCTAATATTGGTCATGTGAAAACAAGAACAAAGAATGACTCAACAACCAATCACAGAAGACTTTGCGTAGGAGGATACAATTAGCAGATAGATGATCTAGCATTCAAGGAAACAGCCACAGCTAAGGAGATGAAAGATTAACTTTTAGAGAGAAACAACCAACCGGAAGACTGTGTTTGTCAGCTAACAATAAGGTACATGAAAATCCATAAATACGTGTTGATTTCCTTAATAAACGATCTGTTGCCTGGCCCTTGTCTTCTGTCGTTACATTTCGTGTCGCTGCCTACCGACAAGTGGAAAGCCTATACCCTGCAGTTTTTGATGGAGACATATGGATCTTCGGGCAAGACTTCGAGGTTTCTGCACAGTTGAGTGGCATTCAAGATCTGTCAGCTATAAAGCTGTTACTTGGGACGCTGCTGAGAGGTCGGGAGAAAGCAGCATATGAAAGTGTGAGGCGAAATACCGGCAAATGTGCGACAGGGTCAGGTAAACAGTTTCTAAAGTGGGAAGGACCACATATGGTCACTTTGAGATGCGGTTACGCAGATTCAATTGCAATGGTAAACAAAGAGAAACAGATGAACATCATCGAGCGCCGAGATTCCAGACAACAAAACAAACAAGGAAATCCCCTAAACCAAGAAGACTGGACTGTCTTCAGTCGCAAGTCTTTGACGGGGGGAACAAATGTGGTGACAGCTGGCTGCTAGCCGAAATTGGCAGATAGTAATTTACGTCAGTGTTTACGTCCCTAATATTGGTCATGAGTAAAATAAGAACAAAGACTGACTCAATAACCAACCACAGCAGACTATGCGTAGGTGGATACAATTTGGCGATAGATAATTTGGCCCTTATCTTCTGTCGTTACAGTACTACTGAAACTTCAAAAGTCTAGCCTGAAGCCCTATGTACCACTCGGAAAGTAAAGGAATAAAATAATAAATACATTTCTGTCTGTTATATTTTTTTGCATTCCTGTTTTTGCCATACTTCACTGTGTCTTTCATGAAGTATAAAGTCTAACACATAAATTGCACGGTACTCGCCGACGTTCGACTAACACTAAAAATGCTGGAGGGGGTTTTGTTTATTTGTATATTTGTTAATATGTGCTCTCATTATTTGTTTTATTATTGTAATTATTATCATTGATTTATTTAGTATGATGAAAAATGGATTCGTCAATTAATCAAACAAATTAATCAACCTTTACCAAAATCAATAAATCATCAATTACACAATGGTCATATTCTTCATTCAAACGATACACCAACTAATGGTGATGACGACGATGACAGTGAATATCGTCAAGCTGTAAGAGCACGTTATCAATCAATTTTAGCTTTATGTTCATTTATCCATGGACATCCGCATACAACACCTGATTATCTACCAATGATTATTTCAGAATTATCAAATCATATACATGATTCACAACCAATAAAACAAGTGATTTCATCAACCCTGTCAGCCTATTCACGTAGTCATCAAGAAGTATGGCATGAACAATCGGTGAAATTTACACCAGAACAATTAGAAAATTATAAATTTGTCATTTCAGATGCTTCTTATTATGTTTAGCTATTTATTTAGTTGTTTAGCTATATACTACTTAAAAGTAGTAAATATTACTGCTAGTAATATTCAAATTAACTAAATCTTCTTTTTCTAAGTGTCTGTGTGTGCTGATTGAATCCACTTATAATCAATTAACAATTTGTCTACCAGAGATGTCTAACTTTTATGTCTAACTCTATTTTGCTTCTTTAAATTCACGCGGAATTTTCAAATGATGTGTTAGTAGTGGTATAATGTTTTAATTGATGGAAAAAAAATATTTTGAGATGTCTACATTTATATGTTTGTTATGTTTTTCTGTTGCTTTCTATATAGTCAATGAAGAGATGATTAACATGCCTTATTTTCTAACATATTTTTGTGTAATGTGTGTATATTTGTGTATATGTGTATACATAAATACATGTTGGTACTATTTGTGCTTATATTTACAATGATAGTGTTTAATCGAAGGGATTTGATTTAAGTCAGTCCGTGATCAAGCCTCAAATCAGTTCAGTACCTGAATAAAGCAACACTAGGTGGCTGACTACAAGGTGGAGTTGTCTAAAGTCTTAGTAGGAAGTTATGACCAGAGGGGTCCAGCAAGTTGAGTGTGAGGACAAATGCTTACCGGTGGTATATGCTGACAGTTGTATCATATATATATTTGACCGTGTTGAAGTATCGCGGCTCAGGGGTGGGGACGCTACAATGAGTTGAATGCATTAGTATTATTATTATTTATTATATCCCTTAATTCCTAGAGGAACATAGGGCTTCAGCTGTGCGTCTCTATTGCCTTCGGTTTTCTACCAACGTTTCCAACCCGCCCCAAGTCTGCCCACATGCTTTCATCATCTCCTCTTCACGAGACCTCCTCCAAGTCACCCTTGCACTGATGACCAAGTCGCCGATTCCATTTTGGGTTCCGATTGAGCAGTGGCTTCTCTAGTGCTATCACTTGATAGTTTGTATTCTCAGAGTATGGCCAATCCAATCCAACCCCATTTCTTCCTGCATATTTGTGGCACAATCGATTCCTGCTGGGTTGGTTCGCTCCCAGAGATCCCTGTTGCTGATCTTTTCTGACCACCTAATCTTGAGTATTGAGGAGGGACAGCTGTTGATGAAGGTCTGTAGTTTGTTTGATGTGCTCTTTATGACGCGCTAGCCAAGTCTCTGATCCGTATAGTGAGTAGCACTGACTGACTTCACATTGGAGTTGAAAATTCGGATCTTATTTTTGATTCTGAGTGATGTTGATCTCCACACAGACTTGAGAGTAATGAAAGCTTGCTTGCCTTACTTTCCTGATCCTCGCTTTGATATCCTCGTCAGTTCCGTCTGTAGTTGCTTTCCAGGTTGCTGTGTAGGTAAACGAGATTGTTTCTTTCAGGTTCCTCCCATTTATGCTGGCTGGTTGTTGTCTGTTGTTGTTGGTGTTGGCCAGGAATCTTCATCACCTCTGTTTTATCTATGTTCATCTGAAGTCCTATCTTCTCTGGATGCTTCTTGTGCCAACTTGTTGCTTTTCACTTGCATGTCTTCCAGTTTGTGGGAAATCAGACATATACATGTCATCGCCGAAGTCTAGATCCTCCAGTTATTTGTGTGGGTCCACTTTATGCTTGCTTCGTCATTGCCCGCCTCTGTCTGTCGCATTATCCAATCTACTGCAATCAGGAATATCAATGGTGATAGTAGACAGCCAGCCTTGTTTTACTCCTGTCTTCACTTCGAAGGATTCCGTGAGTTTCCCGTTGTGGATTACTTGCCATGCGCAGCATTGTCCTACAACTGTTGGATGAAGTGTATAATTGTTGGCGGCACCCGGTAGTAGCAAAGTAGTTTCCAATTCACCTCTTGATCGAGGCTGTCTGCTGGAGACTTTTTCAAAGTCGATGAAGTTGAGATAGAGAAGTGACTTCCATTTCAAGCTTTTTCTATTTTTTATTTTTGATAACAGCTTGACTCCACACTGTATTTTTAGTACAAGTATTGAATTTTCATCATGGATATCGGTAGTCGAAATTTTGCAGGCCGACCATAGATATCAGGTGTTCGTCGGCAGGGGATCGAACCTTGGACCATGTGCATGGTCAGTGAGGATATTAACCGTTATGCCACCGACTCTTTGTTCAATGATGATCTGTAATGTGGGGATTTGATCAGTACATGACTTGTTTCTCCTGAATCCAGCTTGTTCCGGTCGAAGTTTTCATCCAGGATGATGGGGCTTAGTATTTCGCTTGGGATGGACAGGAGCATAATTCCGCACCAGTTTTTGCATTGACTTAAGTCTCCTTTCTTTGGTAGTTTGAATAAATATCCTTTCTTCGGATCCTCGGGTACTTTGCCCTCTTTCCACGCATTCTCCAGCAGTGGCGTCATCAAGTCCTCTGTTGTCTCTGGGTCCATTTTCAAAGCTTCTGCTGGGATTCCATCTGGTCCTGCTTCTTTTCCAGCTTTAAGCATCTTGATTGCATTCAGTACTTCTGATTTCGTTGGGGGATCGATGTTCACTGGCAGATCTGCTTCCGTTGCTGGGATTGTTGGGCGCATTGTTGGTGGTGGTCGATTTAGAAGTATTTTGAAGTGTTCAGCCCAGTCTTTTCTTGGTTCCACCTCTTTGGTGTTTGACTTTCCACTGTCATCCTTTACTGGCTTAATTTGTATTGAACCTTTGCCCGATAGGTTCCTAGTTGTTTGGTAGAATGTGGCGAGGTCTCATTTGCCTGCAGCTTGTTCTGCTTCTTTTTCCATGGCTTCAGAATATTTTCTTTTGTCTTCCCTGGCACTCTTCTTCACTCTTTTGTTCAGCGTATTGTAGTTTGCATTCAACTCCTGCTTTTGTTGCTCGTTGGTGCACTGGATAATATTTTGTTTCACTATCCTTCTATCTTCTATTAGTTTCGAAGTGTCCGTAGTAAGGCAGTGTTTGTCCTGTCTCTTCTTTCTGCCCAGAACTTCCACGCAGGTTTGAATCCGCATCGCTTTCAGGTTATCTCAGTAATTTTCGACGCTAACCTCTTCACTAGTTTTGATTTGTGTCTCGGCTTTGTCCTTTATTCTTGCAGTGATGTCCTGTGTATCCTGGTTTTCCAGTTTTTGAGTGTTGAACTTGGCTTGTGGTCTATCTGCAGCTCCTGTTTCCCTGAAAGCTTTTAATTTGATTTGGATCGTCCCATGTACGCATGATGAGTTCCCTTCCTGTGTTGTCTGATCCCAGTTTCGCGTTCATGTCTCCCAGTAGTATTTTAATGTCGCCAGCTGGAGTATTGTCCATTGTTGCCTGTAGTTGTCTGTAGAATTCTTCCTTCTTTTCGAGGTTTGCGTTGTTCGTGGGTGCATAACATTGTATAATTGACACTTTCCTTCCTTTGGAGTTGAATCTGGCGGTCATTATCCTGGACGAGGTCGCCTCCCATTGCATTAGGGCTTTCGTTGCCGTTGGTGACATCACGATAGCCATGCCCTCGGTGTGCGTGTGGTTATCTTCTGGGTAACCGAAGTAGATCACTGACTCACTCGTTGAAAATTTGGTGAGTCCATTCCCGTTCCATCTGCTTTCACATATTCCCAGCACTTGGATTTCGTATCGTTTCATCTCGTTTGCGATCTGGGAAGCTTTGCCAATCTCGTACAAATTGCGGACTTTCCATGTCCTCACACAAACTTTTTCTTTTAGCGCAAGGAGATTCATTGTGCTGAAGTTTCTGTAGCAACTTTGTTTACAGGGTGGGGTTGCTGGCCTCACGCCTGAGAAAGGAGTTGTTACATTAAGATGTAGTTTAGAGATAAGCGACCTTGTGGATTGCTCCCCTTAAAACCGTAAAACAAGGAATAAAGCAATCAGAACAACACCAGCAAAAGGAAAATAATTCACAACACAAGGGGCAACAAGCGAAAACATTAATAATAAAAAACCCTAGCAGTAGTATGACAGTCAGATAAAGTTAACAAAAATCATACCAAAATCATAAACTCACTGACTTGAGCCAACATGGACTTGTAAATTCACCAATATATACAATTATATTTATTAGGTAGTGTTAGACAGTCATAAAATGGCGAACAGATAGTTATAGGTATTATCGGCCAACAAGATTATTTCCACAGATTCAGTGTTTGAAAGGCAAATAATTACACTACTTTCCGAAAGTTCTTGTCAAGAGATTTTACAGAAACAAGAGTTTTATGTAATTAGTTATACGTAACGTCGGTGCGTCGGTGGTATAGCGGTTAGGACGCTCGCCGACCATGCATATGGTCCGGGGTTCGATCCCCGGCCGGTGCACTCCTTTACCACACTGAGCCAGAAATAATGCTGGTAAAGAGGAAACGTTGGGCATGAGGCTAGCAACCCCATCCTGTAAAAATTAAACACTGCTACAGAAACTTCAAGCCACTAGCTTGGAGCCCTATGTTCCACTGGGAACGTGAAGGAAAAATTATTATTATTATTTAAATTAGTTATACGTAACGTAGTAATTGAAAAGCGCGTCTAGGTCAAGACATGCTAATAATCACATACAACTGATCTCCACACCAATCACCTTGAGTTCAACCATAGCTACTGCAGATGAGTGGCAGGGGACCCTATGAAGTACTGATATGACCTCTACCCATTCAACTTTTACGATCGATTTGTTTATCCGTGCTGAACGAATCAAACTGCAGATTATTAGATATACAAGGGCCAGTAGCACAGTTACTGCGTTACAGTGTTAAAACAATAGTTAATAAATGCATTCTCGAATAGCCGTATTATACTCTCCTTTCACTATTTGAGGCGGTGTCGATAACAACTGGGCCACCAAGTTAGGTTGGCTTTTTTAAAAAGCCAGAAGGTTGTGTGGCCATAGGTCAGGCCTGACAGAAAAGACGGCAGTACAGCAACCATGGGAATTGTTTCTAATCGAAGCCGATTGGGAAGCCAGCTTCAGGCCATTGAGGTAGTTTAGCTAACTGGTTTCTACGTACACTACTCAGAAGGTCAGGAATCTTTACCTTACGACCAA